TATATCCCCAGTTCTTGGTCAGTATCAGTGGAGAAGCCGTCTCTTATCGTCCTTTCATCTCGTGTTTACGACGTTTTGTGGAGGTTCAATACTAACTTCTGCAGAAATGAAACAGAGACAATAAACATGAGGAACTGGAACAAAAGTTATGCTCCACAGGACGGCACAGAGACAAGAGGGGGCAGAGCTGAATGCACAACACACACAGCAAGGACACGCTGCAGTCAATGACAAAGTGCTCTTTAACAAAAAGAGAAAATAGAATATATAGGAGTCAGCATTGATTTTTCTGTCTTTTATTGTGTTTTTGCTATTCAAATCAAGTGGCTACTATTATATGTTTTCATTGTTCTGTGTGTGTGTGTGCGTGCGTGCATGCGTACTATGAAAAACTGTTCTCTCTCACTACTTCTTCTCTTTCTCTTTTATTCTTTTAACGTTTTCCTGCTCTGCAATCGATCGCCCTCGCCACTGACAGGTCATTAACAAACAATTTAGCGAGCGTTCCTCTTCCCAAAGTGCCCAGCCTTCCACTAACGCTGCCTCAGATGCCCAGTTTCTCAGCACCGGCCTGGATGGGACCGCTGTGTGAAAACACGTATGTACAAGGCTCCACTGTGGTCTGGACTAGAGGGCTTTACACAGTTTGAGAGGTTAGCACAACAGTAATTAACCAAATGGATCCATCAACAAGAAAAAGACCCAGACCTGAACCAAAACAGACTCAGGATCCGCATCTGTGTTTACTGATCTATCTCCAGTTAGTTTGAAGGCAGAGTGGAGCTCATGGTCTGTGACCTTCTGGACATAGTGGTTCATATGTCTTTCAACCAAATACTTCACAAAAATGATGACACACCAGGCCATTCTCCTCACTTACTGGTCCATCCATCCGTCCATCCATCCATCCACCGTTTATCCTTTTCTCTGCTGTGATTAGGAAATAGCATACACTCTTGATGCTCATATTCACCTGCGGGCAGTTTAAGGGACCAGTTACCTAAGCTGCATGTCTTTGGACTGTGGGTTAAACATACTTATGGGGGCTATGCTAACACATTAGCATGGCATCAAAATACTTCCATTCTAAAACATTATTTTAACATTCTGGTGAGCATACCTTGTCTTACAGGGCTTATGCATAGGTGTGTCATGTTGTGCTGCTGCACTTACTGCAAGCATCATATTCACCACGTTCATCTTTTGTCGCGCATGTTTAACTGTTGAAGTCCTACAGGGGCAAGTCATTTTACAAAGGCCAAAGGTCAGACCTGAATCAGAATTTAAGTGTGAAAATCAGACCTGGATCAGTTCAGGTCTGGTATTTTTGTTTTTAGGGTCAGGTATGGGTGAAGACCTCTAGCCTAGACTGTCCCCGGTCTGTCCTGAAGCAGCTCTGCTTCTGTTAACCTGCATGTTTGTTAGAGTCTTCTTCCCTAGAATTTATTATGTTCTGTAATTCCTCTAGTCAGAACGGATAATTGTCAAATTAATTTCTAATACCCTCAAAAACTTGAGTGCAGGTATCTCTGAGTGAAACATTATTCTGTCTGAATAAGCCAGACTCAGCACGTGAGGGAGGTTTGTGTTCGTCTGTGAAGATTTTGTGCTGTGCAATGTGCATATGACAATGTCAAGAATCTCAGTGTAATAATAATACATCACCTCAATTTTGTGTTACAGCTTGCAAGGAATAAATCTACCTGACATCTTGTAAGTTGAGAAATGTTCTGTGTTTTCACGTTAGAAAGTTTTATTTAATAAAAACCTGCCCTTTCCTCTTCTCCTTCAAAATGTGCCACAGTATCAAAACATGACGAAATGCAGGTTGTGTTTGCTTGCCAGTAACAACAGGAGGTTAACACATGGAGGACTTGTATGTCCACAAACTCAAATATATCAAAGTTTTGCAACAAAAATTTTGATGCCAAAAAAAAAGAGGAATTTTCACATCAAGCAGGGTTAAAACCAAAATCTTAGATGAATGTCCGTAAAAATGAGATTTCAGCTCAACCAGCTCATCAGTCAGTCACAAAGCTTAAGTGTGACTTTTAGGCAGTAATAAATCAATCCACTCTAAAACACACTGGTTACCAAGATGATTTTTCCTTATTCTCAAGTAACTATATTGTAGTTGTCAAGAAACCACAGATCAATAAAAGCAAGTATGTAAGTGCTGACACAACTAGTCAGAATTTCTATTTCAGCAAATGTTTTTGCTAAATGTTGCTGCTTTTCTTTCAGTTGTCTTCACCTCTGCTACATGTTAAATCATCCATTTAACCTATGCAGATTAGCAGCTCTTCAGCGTGGTCAGTATGGGACTACAATTTTCTGAAATTTCAAAAGATTTATTTGTATCATTGACTCCTATCACAGTTTTCAATCTTGTAGAGGAGGTGGTTAAATAATTAAAATGGTGCATCACTGCTAATACGCTTCAATGTCTGTTTCCATTCTGGGTCCTCCCTGATCTCCGAATGTTCAACACTGGGCGGCTTGCTACTGGGCAACTGCTCTGAGCTACGTGTCAGTGGAGCACATTTATGTCAGAATTCACTAAACTCAGTCAAATTGAATTTTATTTGTAGAGTCAATCACAATTTGCCTCATTGGGCTTAAATATGTACAAGGTGCAACATCCTCTGCCCTTAACCCTCGACACGGCTGAGAAAAACCCTTTTAACACAGAAACCTCAGACAGTCACTAGCTCGTGTAGATTTATCTTTGTATGGAAACATTGATTTTGGTGCAAGATTTATCTGTTAGCTGTGGCCATGAGACAGGAGATATGTATTGTTTTCTTTATTTCTTAATACTACTAATATTCATATTCCTATTAATATTAAATTAATCACATTTCATGCAGTTTTATTCAAGTCTTATTTTTTTATAATTCTTCTCTATTTGAAAAGGGACATTGTCCTTTAATCAACATTCATAGTTAGCAGAATGGCTTATTTTCATCTTTGCCAGATAGGCTGTGATAAGAACGTTTGTGCAATAATAAATAATATAAATAATTAACAATAGGAACAATAATTAAAAGGCATGGAGCATTATGGGTATACAACAGTCATTTGCAGCTGGTTGAATGAGTACAGTCCTGGTGTAATAATATCACTGAGACAAAACTCCCAAACATTCTCTGGTTTCAGCCTCACCAACATGATTGTTTTCTGTGATACTAAACTGAATGTCTTTGGGTGGTCATGTTCTTATTTATTTTTTCATATTATAATCTCGATGAGCTGTGATTATCAGAAAGATCGTTGGATCTGAATTCACCTGCTTGTTCTTGATTTCTAGAAAGACATCAGTGTTTTCATATCTATTTTACAGCGAGATTGTGCAGCTGAGCTGTCAGTGTTGGTGGCCATGTTGGGGGATGTGGTGGTGGGAGGGGGGGGTGCGTCTCTTGAGGCTGATTGAGGGTGTCTTTCTTAAAAAGACTCCTCATTCCGACTCCCCCAGCCTTTCCCACAACACGGACCACACTGTTCTTCTACCTCACTTCATTTGGCCCTCCTCAATCCAATAAAAAGAGAGCGAGAGAAAAAAAAGCTGGCACTTCATTAGTGAGCACAGACGGGCGAGTGGGATCGTCCCACTCCCCAGGGAGCAGGACGGAGCGCGCTCAGAGAAGAGCACCACTAATTAGACATGAGGGGGATTGCCACAGAGCGTTTAATTGCACTGCGGACTCAGCCCAAAGCGTTTATTCCTGAGCGCCACTTGTTAAGGTAACAGTCTTTTAAAGGCAAAGTGAGAAAAGTGAGGGAGTGAGTGGCACTTGTTTTAACCCCTCCACCACCACCACCCCTCCTCATCCACCTCCATCCTCCTGGGCTGTCATTCTAGCTGGGCGCTGTACACTTGGATGTCGGTGGCGGAGAGCGTTACCATGTGTTGCTGTGAAACCTGTGCGCAGAGGAGAAGGCGGGGAGATGTCCATCTGTCTCACTCTCGTGCTGTGTTTACTGACTGAATACACTCAGCCCCGGCACAGAAACCACCAAAACCTGTTGAAGAACCACTATAAGGCTTCAACACACAAGTCTTTTCTGAGGACGAGACACTAATTTGTTTTCTGAACACTGGTCCTTCAAAGCACTTATGTGCTTTAACATGTGCATGCTAAGTTCAAATAAATATTCTGCCTGTCTGCAGATCATTTTTCAAAACAGCCCATGAGTTTTTTTAGATATATTCCCTTCCTTCCATCCTTCTCTGGAAATCAGTTTTCTGCAGACAGATGATTTATCCCACCTCCACAATGTGTACATTAAATTAATGATTTGATGAAAAAGTTTTATTTATGACACATAACTCCATATGGAGTTAAATGGCTTTTAATTATTTTTTACTTAAACATTTTTGTTGAAATCCTCATGCCCAATAAATGAATTAAAGTGTCTGAAACAAACAACAGTAACAAGAAACCCATGTGTCTGTGTTATAAACACAAATTAAATGATTGGCTGGTGTACCTGTCTGTTACTAACTGACCTGCCTGTCTGCCTGCGTGCACCCTGCCTGTGCTCTCACTGTTCATGACCAGAGTCTTCACAAGCTGGGGAAGTATCGGCACTGAAGAAGAGACGATAGTCAGAAGTTAGCGAGTGATTCACGGATAAGTCATCTAGCAGGTGTCAGGCAGTGCACATTCATGTGTTTTGGGGGCGTACCACGTCCTTCCACCAAGTTCTCTCCAGTAGTTTTTGCAAAATCCAGCAAACAAGCAACAAACAAACAGACAGACGGGGGTAACCTTGATGGCGGTAATACAAAGCATTGGAGTGTGTCATGCTCACCCTGTGTGTGTTGCATGTACTCCAACAAAGACAATGAATAAATCAGTTTTGACCTGTATAAGCTTCAGGTCATGTCTGTATTCCTTTAGGATGCAGAGCTTAGTAAATAAATGTCTGAACTATGCATGATGTAATTTAAGTTAAGATCCTCACTCTACGCATGTTTTAAGTGGAACAAATAGACATCATAGGTGGTCAACATGTATTTGTTCATTACAGTTAATAACCCCTTCCATCATCTCTGCAGTAATGGTTCGGCCACCTCAGAGGATTTGTTCTGGAAGCTGGATGCTCTGCAGATGTTCGTGCTGGACCTCCATTGGCCAGAGCCAGAGTTTGCCAAACATCTGGAGCAGAGACTCAAACTGATGGCCAGCGACATGATGGAGGCCTGCGTCAAGAGGTCAGACGGAGAGGTTACCATAGCTGGACCTCAGGGTTCAGATCTGTCTCAATCTTTCTTACACTTTCACTGGATTATTGTACCTCACACTAACTTCCTGTTTTTAACTAACCTGAGAGAGAAAACTAACCTTTTACATGTTCAAATCAAACTTTAATTGCTGTATTCATTGGCAAACATGAATTATATGAATTCTGCTCATTTTGGGCAACATAAGTCATAAAAACCTCTTTGTTTTTTTCATCCCTCAAGAACAAAATCAGCGTTTGATGCCAAAATGCAAAAAGCGAGTAAGTCCACAGACTTCCGCGTGCCGCTGTCAGTCTGCACCATGTTCAATGTGCTGATGGACGCCAAGAAGCAGTGCTCCAAACTCTGTGTGCTGGATACTGGTCAGGAGGTAAGCCCACGGTTGGTCACATGACCGATGACATTGCAAGTATCTCCAGATGGAGACTTGGAAATCACACCTGAACAAGTCATACAATACTTTGGTAAACAAGCAAGCCCGTTTCTGAATGATCTCAGAACAGCTGAGAGTCATAGGGTCTTGCTCTTGGGCCGAGCTGCAGAGCGAATGTGTGGCATGCTTACTCTGAACATGCTAGGTAGCTGGAAATACTGTATGCTCACGTTAGCCAGCCATGGTATCCTATGATATGATATAGAGACTTTAATAGATGCATTAGCTGCTTAACTGGTTACTAGTTTTCAAATTGGTAACAAGCTTGTTAGCTAGATGATTCTCCAGCAGAGTAGAGCGAGTCACCTTTTGGACAACAGAACTGCAGCATCTGTACAGCTCCACTGAGTCACCTACCATATGTTAACATCTGTACCCTTTGAACAGCGATACCTCCACCCAGTCGTTTGGGCTGATGTATATACGGGTCTAACTATACTGTGCTTATCTTCTGACAGCGAGGTCTTCACAAGCCGTGATCCCCCAGTTACAATTAGCTTGGTTTTTTTTTTAGATTGAATTTCTGGAATGAAAACCACATTATGCAAATTGTGTTTGTGCTTAGTTGTGATCTGTGCATTGAGGTAAAGGGGTTTTGCTTAGGACCGTCCGACTTTCCATGTCCAAGCACCAAAACTGAACTCCACTCTCTGACCCTAATCCCCTTATTGCAGTGACTCCATTAAAGGGTATTTTTTTCTGCTTTAAATGTTGGTTTGACCAGGCCCTGATCCCTGAGACCTAGAGCTCATTCATAAAAAAATAAACTGAACTAGCGGTTAATAAAAGTTAATAAAAATAAATGTTGATAAAAGTAGTCTTGGCTGACTACCAGACAAAATTACATATGATGGATGGATGTTTGTATTTTTTAGTTCACTTCTCACAGTTCATCGTCAGAGAAGGTCTGTCAGCTTCAGAAATACTCAGCCGTCTTTTATTTCCAGGCTTCATACTGAACAGGTCAAGTCAGACTGTCAGATCAGCCACTAAAACGTGACTGTTTCCCTCCGAACATCCAGCAGACGGGGAGTTCAGGTGTATTTGTGTTCACTTGAAGCGGCCAGACGCTCGACACAAGCTGTTAAATGGATGACCGTGAAGCCTGTGTGAGGCAGCAGCCTTGGCATTGCTGAGAGCAAAACCCTTGGCCACCGGCAGTCTTGACAGAGAGCTAAGCTCGCTGTTCTCTTAACCTTCAGCTTCCTCTCCTCCAGTTTCCACGAGCCGCTGCCGCTGCCACCGCAGTTCGAAAGCACCATCTGTCCATTTATTCCTGCTCACACATACTGAATAAATGCCTGCAGAGAGACACACTATTATACCAACCAACTTTATACACATGAACAGTTTTCACATACACACTGTTTCTGCTACAATATTTTTCATTATGTGATACAAAGGTCCCTTCAGGCAAACAAGCATGACGATAAAGAAAGAGAAAATAAAGGAGGTGGGGTCATAGTGCAACATACACAGGTTAAAATTATAATGCTCCGATCTTAGATTTTTTCCGTATTTATAGTCCTGAAATTACAAGTTTATTGATGTATTAGTCGACAGACACATTCAGTTGGTAGTAATAAAGTAAATACAGATCAGCTATAAAAATATATACATCTGATGCATATCTACAATAGACTTTGCCACAAAAATGTTGTGCGATATCAACAGTGAGTATGGTTAGTTTAAATGATTAGCATAATACTAGTTTGCAATCTGTATCAATGTTCATGTTCTCCAAAAAAAAACCTTTGTTCATCTTTACAGTCTGAATTTACTTCAGTAACAGCTTGTATTAGCGGATATGAGTTATGTTCGATAAGCTTATCGTTTGAGGTTCGCGGGGGTGCTTTGATGCCGGACTTGATTGAATCACCAGAGATCACAATGAAGGCGTCATGGTGTATTTGTCACCTCGCAATAGTGAAGTAGATGACATCACTTGCTGTGTTTGTATTCATATGTGGATGGATGTACACACAAGCAAAATCAGTGTCCTTAATTATAAAATGTCCCCGGCTTCACAGGACTAAACTAAGGTAAACCCACATAAGAGTCTCTGTAGATATCCTGGTTCATCACCAGCAAAGCCAGCGCTTATGGTCTTGTTGGTCAGAGAGTTCACATTCCCATTACCACTGATGGAATATACAGCTTCAGGGTCTACAAGCTCCCGTTTCTGACCTTTTATGGCTTCAAACGGGTCTCGTAAAACCAGAACTTGTTGTATATTTAAGACCCTTTTATGAGTTGTTAGATACAAAAGTGATTACTGCCTGTAGTAAGCTAGTTAGCAAAGCATGTAATTATAAGCTCAATTTTAATCAATGTTTTACACTTTCATTCCACTGTTGTGTCACTCTAACTACATGCCCATGCACACTGCTTTAACATGTGGAGAACCGAGTCCGACAGACCTGCTATACCTCGTTACAGTCACTAAGCTATGATTGCACAGTTAAAGATTTTCACCTGCTAAGGCCGTCACACGTACCTTGATATCATATGAAGACAACAGGATGTTAGGGGTCAAAGGTAATAGTATCCAGAACATACAAAATTCAGAATTACCTGACCCTACCAAGGTCATGGCTGTAAACATGGCAAGGTTTTGTTTCAAAGGTTTTGAAAGTGTTTTTGTCCATCTGCTCATTGTGTGATGCTGCAGCAGCAGCAGACTAAAATACACTAACAGGTTTAACATCTTAAATGGAGATGGCAACAAAAACATTATATGAGCATTTTGTTGTAACCACTTGAGAAGGACAAAGTGATTCTGGCTTTCCAAACACAGCAGCTGTTCAGTCTGTCTGGCCGAACTTCAATTCATCCCCCTCACCCCCCAGAAACTGAATAACCTTGATGATTAAATGATCAGAGTTATAGATTAAGGAGTGAATCATTCTCGGGACTTTTCAAAGGGAGAAGATATTTACGACTTGTCTGCTTTCTGCTAGTTTCTACATGTTTTCAAAGCCAACAGTGGAAGATGCATTAAGATCCACAGAGATGGAAAATCATTATAATGTTTGACTTTATAACTCTAAAGCTTTGCAAAGTGAGAATTACTCTGTTCCGTCAAAGTCAAAATAAATGTGTGTCTGTTGTTGGACTAAAAGTCTTTTAAGATGAAATGTTTGATTTTTGATTTAGATGAAGTTATGATGGAAATGTAAGTAAAAATCACACCGAAAAACGTCAAACGTCGTATTTCCGTATCCATCTGAGTTTTTGCCTCTTGAACTCTTTCCTGAACTGGATTTTAATGTTATTGCTTTTTCTACTGACTGGCTGACTATGTTTGCATTCTTTTCTTTGTTCCATGTCCTCCCCGTCCCTCATGTCCATGTGTCCTGCACATCATTGTTTGAATCCCAGATTGACAAACAATGGGTAAGTCTCCTCCATCGCCTCATCACTTTTTTTTCCCTGTCACTCTTCTCCACATGAGCTCCATCAAAAAAGATGTGCCTATATTATTATAATCCAAATCGAAGCACATTGCAGGATCCTTCAGTGGTTATCTATATTTTAAGGTTGTCCTTGAAAAAGTAGTTGAGCCTTTTCCAGCTGTAATGATGTGCACTTGTTGTCCTGGAGAGCTCTAGCACTGCATATTTTACATCTTTCCTTACTATGCCTAAAAACGCCTTGATTGATTAAATACATTTAGTCCAGCTACTCAGTAATAGGTGGAGCAAAGAAACTGGAAAACATGCAGTGTTGGGGCCTTTAAGGACCTGAAGACTTCCTGATCAAAATCGTATCACCAGCATCAGGTGAAAATATAGGTTCCGGATGTTATGGAGGTTTTCTGGAAGCTGGTGAAAGGAGAACCCAGACGGCAGCTGATGTCTTATGCAGAATTTTCAATGTAGACTTGATGCATCAAGGAGACCAGAAGGTGCAACAATATACAAACACTAACAGAGTAACATGAGCAATTGTCACCCCAAGTCTGAAGATGTCTCCCACAGCATCCACATATATCTCCCTCTACTTGTGTCACCCATTCTAACAGCACATCCATGAATGGCTAGATTTGCTGTCACTCTCTGTGTTACATGAAGCTGTTCACATCCTAATGGATTGTTAAGTCTAAATATGCATTCCTAAACCACATTGTGTCCTTATGTCTTGCCACTGGTGAAAGAGTTGAAGTTGGTGCCTCTATATCTGGGGCATCAGATATGAAAGTCCCTGAGCGTAAACACTACAATGCACTGCTAGTTGGCCCTTTATCTATAACCTGACCTTGGATACTGCGAAGAGTAGGGAGTATCTGTGGAACTTGACAAGCACCATTATCTTAATGGTGAACAGATATAGTGTAATATACACTGTATACATAATATATAGTGGCATATACAGTAATGTGTGAGGATGGTTAAATATTCTTCAACACCAGAAAGTAAATCATGAAAGTCTGTTTTTATTGCCCCACAAGAGGAGTTAGTTTTACAGCAAGGGAGCACAAAAACATAGGATGAATGAAACCTTCCACCTGTCACAGCTAGTTTTTGGAAACTGTATCTCTGAACGAAGAGGACAATAATAAATGAGTTAAAGGTTGTATATACAATATTCATTACCGCTAGCACCAGCATCTTGGAGCAAAACAAATTATTTGTTGGCACACCTCCCCCTTCCTTCGCATTGACATTAAGGTGTTCACGATATCCTTAATGGAACACACTGACTTACCACACAACAGGAAGCACAGCTGAATAACTGTGTACAAGAGAGTCATCAAAACACAATCTGCTGTACAGACCATCATCCATGCACCATTTGAAGCTTCTGTCAGTGTCTGAATTTAAAAGTTGTTTCAGAGCTCAGCTCACACTTGAAGTGTCCGTCCGTCCGTCCACTTGGGGATCATGTTTATGTCATTACCGAATGAAGCTGAAACATCTTACTTTATACACATGGGGAGGGCCACTGGTTTGACAGGCAGGGACTCGCATGCAGTAACGGGCACATGCACTTATATGAACACACTATTTGACTCTGTCTCAGAGTGAGTGTGACTTCATTCTCTGCTCAGGTAACTGAGATTTGTCCAAAAAGTTTGAAAAAAAGAGTTGCTAAAAGTGTCCGGAAAGTCAGTAGATCTATCGACAAATGAGCTAAGTCAGAAATATTGCCTGTGAATGCCTCTGGTCATGCAACAGAGACTGTTAGAGCCAAGTCAAGTTGAAAGGGCAACAGCCAATGGGGGGAAATGTCAACTCTTGGCCGGCCTGCAAATTTACCACGAGTGTGACTCAGACGATGCAATGTTCAGTTGCCAGTAGCTGCTGTGAATGAGGGCCCCCTGACCTCTGACCAGAGAGCAGCAGTCTGAGGGGTTTTTCAAGAGATGTCAGTCTGACCCCGGTCCAGACCTTACAACAATTCTGATGCCTCACTAATAAATTCTTTGTAAATTTATTTATTGTTTATTTCTCTTTTATTTTTTTTCATGTGCAGAGTGACATGGGGTGTTTAGCTGACCAGCTTAGCAGATCTCCTGCAAAGTATCTGCACTTGACAGTTTAATCCTGCTGGATTCACGAATTCCTCTTTTACAGGCCCTGGTTAAATTGGGGTGATTAACTGAAATCAATGAAAATGCTAATTCATCTGCAGCCATTTTGTTGCTGAAGTAATTTAAATTGAAAGTGGCAGGATCGTATTGAAAATATGACCCGGTTCAGAATCTAAAACATTTCACAGAGCTGAAGTAGCAGCGACGGCGGCTGGAGCTCAATGAACAGATAAATGTTTTTAAAGGCAATAATTGTTCTTTTCAGGTTTAACTGTGCACAACTTCTCCTCTCTGCTTTTTTTTGATGCCTTTGTAGAGAAAAAGAAGGCGAAAGCAGCGATGTTAATTGACGTAAGAAGAGGAATAAAAGAAAAGCTCTCAAGATTCGCCAGAAAGATTTGGCGTGCTGAAAAGGAGCTGCCATTTTGCGGAATTGTGGGGGGAAAAAGAAAAAAAAATCAGAATTAGGGCTGGCAGCGGTGACCTCCCTGGACCCACAATTTGTCAGCGATCTGTGTGCTTTGTTGATTGAAATTTTTAATTTGGGTGTTCTTTAGACAGCCAGTGAAAGGCCATTGTCGCCAAGAGATGAACTCCCCTGCTGCTGCTGCTTTTCAGTGCTCAGCCCCAGCCTTTTTTCCTCTCCTTCCTTCAAGGGAAAAGGTGCCATGAATATGTTTTTTTTCTTTTTGGGTGGTGGGGGGGGGGGTAAAACGAGACATGAAATGGCGGATTAATTGAATCTTGTGTGAGCCTTTGGTCCTCGCAGCTGGACCGGTGCTTTAGAGAAATACAAGGCTGCTCTAATTGTAGGGAGACGCACAAAAAGTATCCTTCAGATTCCTTCGCGTTTCCAGCGCAGACGGGAATGTCATTCAGCTGCATAATGGTCCTATTAGCTGCTTAACTCAGCGGCGTTACACGGATGGGAAGGTTTTCACACCTCGCTGTGTTGGGGGGGAGGGAGGGAGGGACGATTGAGGTGTGTGTGTGTGTGTTTTTCTTTTACAGCTCAGACAATCCTGTTCAGTATATCAGGGAGTCAGTTTTACTCTTTGTGTCCCATCAATTTTGTGAAATAATGAAATATTGCTTCTTGCCCCCCCCCCTCTCCCACAATGTCTCCCCGTCCATACGTCTCTCCCTCACCTCTGTGTCCCCCCCACCCCACCCTGCAGCAACAGTACCACTCCAAAATCGATGTCCTGATTGACGAGTCATTCAAAGAAATGATTTCCTCCCTCATCTCAAAGGTAAAATCTCTGTCGGTCCTCCAATCAAATCCTCTCGCTCTCCCTTTAATTGTTGTGATTTGTATTTTCTTTTTACGCTTTTCAGCGTTATTTTATATTCGATGGAGGGGGCTGGGTCCAGCCTCACTGCTTTAAGCTTTGTTATTTATTCTTCGGATTCAATTCTTCTTCTTTTAATACATGGACGGATAGCTTATTTGCTTTAACTCTTGCTGGATCTTTATTCTGTTTTTTCTATTTATTATTGTAATGATTTTGTAATGGTTATTTTGGCTGGTTCACCTTTACTGTAAGTTACATTAAATATTCATTCAATTTAATTTTCTTTACATGTTGGTCTTACTTATTTCATTTAGTTTCATCTGTATTTTCTTTATTGGTATAAGTTTTTCAGTTTGCTTTATGGCCTTTTTTAAAATAATTCAAAGAACGTCCTTTCATTTAGATACAAGATGATCAAACAGACTATTCAACATGTTCCGAATAAAAATATATTTCTTGAACTTGATCCAACCAAAACCAAATAATTGGTCACTGCTCTACACTCAAGACAAAACCATTCTCATTTTAAATGGAAAATGAAGGCAGTACATTTTTGTGTGCCCCCCCCCCCCTGTCCGCAGTTTGCCGGTGTTTTAGACTGCGTTCTCTCCAAGCTCTCGAGATACGACGAAGGGACATTCTTCTCTTCAATCCTGTCTTTCACAGTGAGTAGCCATGTTTTTGTGCCTGTAAACAGAGAGCAGCGAGCTGTCTCTTTCATCGCTCACAGAGGCAACCTGTTATTTGCTGGAAACCAAATCTTCCCAGCTGAACTTCAGTGTCATTCTTCTTCTTCTTCTCCTCCTCCTCCTCCTCCTGCCCCTCCTGCCCCTCCTGCCCCCCAAAAGGTGAAAGCTGCTGCCAAGTATGTTGAAGTCCCTGTGAGTCTGTCGATCTCTGCCTGTTTTATTATTCACTTTGTCGGTCACAGTCACTTTTCATATTTATGTTTCCTTCCACAAAGTAGAAGTGAAAAATGAAGCAGCCTGGAAATGCAAAGCGGCCGCTCTTTGCTCTCCCGCATGTGCTTGTTGTTTTCTTTTCTATATATAAATAAGTTTGTCATCATACTGTGTTAAGCATGTGTGAAAAATAAAGAGGGGTTTTATTCCATCTGCAGCTCCAGAACAAAGATCACACAACAAGCCTAATTAATTGCACTCTCCCTCGGAGATGTGTTTTGCTTAAGTGTTGGTTTGTGGGCGGCAGCGCTCGGGTGCCGAGCGCTTAATGAACGACGCCGGCGTGGCAAAGTTCATGGGCTGCGGCGGGGCGAGCGGGAGGAGGAGATGGGGTCATGTACAAAGCATGAGTTGACCTGTCAAGGCGATGAGGCGTTAACATCGTTATGTGATGCTGAAAGTGTGAAGGAGAGAGAGGTTCAGTCTCCAGAATTAGATCTCGCTAAGATCAGCCGACCCCTCATTTGCTAAAATGATTAACAGCTCAAAATTTACCGAGAACAATTCCTCTGTGGGTTTTTATTTTTGCAGGTTTATTTTTTCTTCTATTTCATATAAATTCTTACAGTTTTTAAAAGCCTCCACTGGGATCATAGATATTTTAAAAAATGAGTCTCTCAGGCTTTAATCCAAACAATTTGATGAAGCATTTCATCCAAAATTAAAACTAATAGATTAAAAAGGGAACTGAATACATTTTCCCTTCTTAGTCACAGTGGTTAATCTGTAATTAGATTTATTTGTCGACCATCATTAAAACAAAAAATTCCCTTTGAATGTGATTAAACAGGTTGAATTTTATTGATGCTCTCACTATTTTAATTTCTTCTTTGAATGGTAGCTCTCTGCACCACCTTCCCTCTTTCACCATATCAAGATATCCAGTGTCCCACTATCCTCAGTTTCGTCAGGGTATAGTGGTTGGATATTTTGACTTTAATGCAACAGATTTGTAATTGTTCCCTCTTTCTTTTTTCCACTTAACTGCTAGCTTTCCATAACCTTAAACATAAACATTTTAAGAACATCTTTTGAGAGTTAAATGAGAAAACCTTCAACTTATGTTTGGTAAATATGAAGCTAGCGAGAGCAACTGCTTAGCTTAGCACAAAGACTAGAAACAGAAAGGAGATGTAGATCATTCTTGTAAGAGACACAAGACACAAAATCACATAATTATATATATTTATTATAATTATATATTGAACAGAGCCAGACATTATCAAAAGGCTTGTGGCATCAGAGACAATCACAGACATCACTAAAGATGTTTCATTTTAAAACTTGGCCAGAGGAAATATTGACACTCTAGTTTCCATGAGCATGTGTCGTAGAAAAATTATGTTAATGATATTATCACGTAGTGTAAAAACAATGGTCTGCCTGGTTCATGAGGTTATATTCTGTGATCAACTCTTCAAAAGGTGGAGAAACTGAGGTTTTAATTACTGCACCTAATTAAAAAGCTTCTCTACTTCATATTTATATGAAGCATTTTTAATGGGAATCACAGTTTTACATTTTTCCATTATAGTTTGTTTTAACCATTTGTGTTGACTGTTTACATGTGTAGCAAAGCAGTGCATGTGCAACAAAAGTGTCTCTAACACAGTTGTCATCTTCCCATCCATCGCCCACATGGTTTAAATAGCAAGTGCACTTGTGCCCATCTGAGCACCCATGGGTGTGTTTGTCTTAAAATGAGGTGTGATCAGGTGGATTGTTGGTACTTTGTTATCCTGAATCAGTGGAAAGAGACCAACAAAAATCTGGCCTGAAGTCAGTCGCTCAGTATGTGACATCTGGGTCAACTGATTACTTTGCCAAGATAGCGAGGTGATAGAGCGCCTCAGTTTTTGGTGCATTTGTGACATTGAAAATGATGCACCGGGGGGAAGAAACTGAAAGACAAACTCCTGTAGTGTCAGCGGGAAAGGAAACTTGCATATATCTGCTAATTTAATTTAAAGGTGAACGTACAACCCCTTTGAACCATGCGCCTGCCTTAGCAATGTGTTTTTCTGCTGTCAGAATATCAAAAGATGTGATGCTGATATTTAATACTCTCACCATGAGCTTTAAAGATCATTAATTCAAAATCAATGTATTTTTCACTTTGTGACTAAATTAAGGACAAATAGGGTGAAGATTATTAAACAATTCAAGGGCACCGTTCTTGTTTCATAGGAACCCATTTAATTAAAATGATGTGTATTAAATGCTGAGAACTGCTGTGATTTCTCAGCTGTATTTTGTATTGTTCTTTATTGTTTTGGATATAACATTGCGCTTGATAAAACCAAGCCTGAAACAGCAGATGTGAGAACAGCCTGCTCTGAGTCATTTAACAGCTGAGCGAAAGAGCAGCACAGCCTCCCTCAACCTCCCTAATCCCCTGACCAGCCATAGTACAAACTTCCTCGTCAGCCGCCTCTTCCACCGAAATTATAATGTAACCGCTACCATGGCCTTTTGGTCTTTTGTGTGGAGGGAACCTGATGCAGGTAAGCCTCTTTTCCAGGTGGCATGAAGGGGGGGGGGGGGGGGGGGGGGGGGGGGGGCCTGAGCTACTTCGCAAGACAGCTCCACCTCGCTAGACAGCTCCTCCCCCTGCACCTTTGACACAAAGAGATGAAGCTTTGGATCTATAGTTGGCTGGTTGTTAGGTTAGTTGGGTGGTTGGTTGAATAGTTCAGTAGTTGGTTGGTTGGTTGGTTAGTTCGGTAGTTGGTTGGTTGGTTGGATGGACTGTGTTTTTGTGTTTGTAATGGCCGACAGTAATGAGCCTATGCTTCAGTAAAAACGTGGATGATGGTGCAAGTCATTTTCCAGTCTGGTGTGTTGTAGCACATTTGAGCATTAACTGACAATTGAGTAAAAATGTATTTTTGTATTATTATTTTTACGTCGTCTTCCTCAGTTGAATTTGTGCATCATTCTGAGCTGAGCAGCAGCTCGTCTCTGCCACCCTGTATACACTCATGCATATATTTTGCAAAAGAAACTTTTTCCTTTACTTTTGGGCCTTTGGTTTAAAGCGTTTAAAGTCACTAGAACAGAGCATTTTACAAATGCATTGCAGATTTTTTGAATCGGTGTGTTCATGTAAAACGGGGCATTTAGGAAACAATGATGTCACAGCCTACTTCACGTGTGTCTACTGTTGCTTTGTGTAATGCACCGTATCACTGGCATTTACGAGAGATCTCTGCTTGTTTGAGCACTTGTAGTTGTTTTTGTGTTCCTGTTTTTATCTACCTATTTTCAATTGTTCTTATTTATTTGAAAACAGCATTAGTTGCACTTTATTTAAGTCATATGTCCATTTTCATTTCTTGTTTGATCTGATTAAGATGTCACCTTTCCAGGTGTGGTTTTCATATTGTTTACAGCCTCCTCAGCTGAAGCAATGACTCCCCTAGAAGACGACCAATAACTGCGTCAGTCCCCCTCCCTTCCTGATCATGAGATTTAAAATCTCTCTCTGAAGGTTTTGATGAAGTCAAAGTGGTCAAATCATTTAAACAATTTAACTTCATCCAAACCTTCAGTGCAGGTCGGTGCTTGTGGTGAAGTGTTGTAAAATGACATAACTGATAGTGAAAAGGGCTGGAGAGGTTCAGTGTGTGTCTCACACATTGACTCACACGTGTTGACGTGTTCACGCCTGTACAGCCAAGATACCAGTGACTGACAAGCCACACATGCTCGTATCAAGCAGAAACACAAACATTGGAAGAGTTAACACCATGACTGGCTCTTCACCATCTTTAACATGACACTATCCCGCAGGGCCGTTTCCAAGCTGTCTGGGGCCCAAATCATCACACAGGATATAGAATCACAGTGACTGTACAGTACATCCACACCTTTGCTATGTTTATGCCTTGTGTTCACCCTACTCCTGAGTTTATGTGCCCCTAAAACAGAGAAACACTACTGGCCCCATTTTATTTGAAAACACCGGGACTGCGTTGTAGTCTGGGAAAACTGAAAGAACGACTATGTCCCCTGCATTCACTTCCTGTTTGCCATTGTTAGTCCTCATTCATAACATTTTCTGTAACCAAGCAACCAACTGCAGAGTAGGCAATCTGCTTCCTGTTCACACCTGCACACACATGACCATTGCATGTTAATAGTCTCACATGACTATGTGTTTTCAGGTGTGGTCGTATGGATGACGATTATTACTGATATGGAGCTAAAATGTGTGTCTAGGCAGAGACTATGTTAGTGTTCTGGAGGTGTGGGGGGTTCCACACCTTGACTGTGTTAATACCAATGTTCACTGTTTGAGTCTCACCAAGGAGTGTGTCAAAGAAATTCCTCCTAAAAATGGTTTATTATATTTGAATACACTGACCCTGCAGTCCCCCCTCCCCCCACATCTCTTTATGTTGGTATCAAAACCCAGCATATTGTATTAAACAACACATTCACTTAATACATACCTCGCAGCCTTTGTATTTGTGAGCCAGATATTTGAGATATTATGTTTCTTATGTGAAAACATGAGAACTTTCAGAATTGAATGATTGATTAATTTATTCAGTCATAATCACCCATTGAACCACAAGTATTAACAATATATACAGTGTAAACAAAGTCTAAACAATCATTACGTTATATATTGACTGGAAAGGTTAAAGGCTCAGTGTGTAGAATTTAGTGACATCTAGAGGTGAACTTTCATGTAGCAGCTGGATACTGCTCACCTCACAGTCACCTTCCCAACATGAAAGAGAACCTTAAGTTGTCATAGAAACTCAAAAGGTTTTAGTTTGTCCAGTTTGGGCGACAGTAAAAAACACGGCGGCCTCCACAGAGAGGACCCCCCCCCCCCCGCCACGTAAATATAAAGTTTTTGGATATAAAGGACCACTCTATGGTAAAGAAAACAACAATTCATAAAGTTT